TAAGAAATCGACGCTTTTTTTATATAGGATAGGGTGACAAACGAGCACACAGTCCACCTGATGGTAAGTGGTTGCTGTGGCCCACAGACATCTACATCTATCCTCGATTACGAATCAAAATGCAGATGCGTTGTCACCCGTGAGGACTAAGATGAAATGCCTCGTTACCTTTAAAAAGTGTCTCTGGTTCTCTACACTCACTATACGAAACAAAGCATCATTAAGCTACTATTTTACATTGATATTCTGTGAGAGTGTGGTCCTTCCCCGGTCGAACCGACCCATTCGTGCTACAACAATACTTCTAATATAACTTCATGTTTCTACCACGTATAAACAACGTGCTTCATTTTTTTCATTTTAAAATTGTTCTCGTAATAATCTGATGAATAAATGTTCATTATTTTTTTTATAAATAGCTTATCGATTAAAACAAATGTTTAAAAATAATTACATCGCGCTAATTAAAGTAGTAGGAATGTTTAAATTGGAAATTGGCACTAAAAGGCTGGTAATTGGGTCATCCACCCTACAAAGCGTGAATATAAAATTTTAATCAGATGCGTGTAATCACTCTGGGAGCTTGTAGCAAACTAAATTCGCGGCCAACGTGTGGACGCGGCGACCAAACTCTGCCAACAACTTTGATCTTTTGTAAAAAACCGACACCACACGGATCCCGCGCCAACTTGCGGGCCATCGTTCCAATACATACCAATGAAGCCCAAACACCCCGTCTACACGTTATGGCGCCTCTACACGTTGGCCAACACAGTGGCGAATGTAGTGGCCAATAGCATTGGCGAACGTGTAGACGGGGTGTTTGGGCTTCATTGGTATGTATTGGAACGATGGCCCGCAGTTGGCGCGAGATCCGTGTGGTGTCGGTATTTTACAAAAGATCAAAGGATTGTTGGCAGAGTTTGGTCGCCGCGTCCACACGTTGGCCGCGCGTTTAGTTTGCTACAAGCTCCCAGAGTGATTACACGCATCTGATTTAAATTTTATATTCACGCTTTGTAGGGTGGATGACCCAATTACCAGCCTTTTAGTGCCAATTTCCACTTTAAACATTCCTACTACTTTAATTAGCGCGATTTAATTATTTTTAAACATTTGTTTTAATCGATAAGCTATTTATAAAAAAATAATGTACATTTACTTACAATCAGATTATTACGAGAACAATTTTAAAATGAAAAAAATGAAGCACGTCGTTTATACGTGGTAGAACCATGCAGTTATATTAGAAGTATAGTTGTAGCACGAATGGGTCGGTTCGACCGGGGAAGGACCACGCTCTCACAGAATATCAATGTAAAATAGTAGCTTAATGATGTTGTGTTTCGTATAGTGAGTGTAGAGAACCAGAGACACTTTTTAAAGGTAACGAGGCATTTCATCTTAGTCCTCACGGGTGACAACGCATTTGCATCTTGATTCGTAATCGAGGATAGATGTAGATGTCTATTGTCTACAGCAACCACTTACCATCAGGTGAACTGTGTACTCGTTTATCACCCTATCCTATATAAAAAAGAGTCGATTTCTTATAATTTAATCGTGCAAGTTCTCGAATCATCATCATCATTGCAGCTCTTCACAAGTCCACTACTGAACATCCTCCTCCACAGACTGCCGCAAAGCATGGTCCTGAGCCACTTTGCTTGTCATGAGTTTTTCATTTATGTTCTAAGTTATAATTAGTACCTAATATTAAGTCAGTGTTAATTATATTTATTGCTATTGTTTTTGTCTTTCTCAAAAAAATAATTAAATTACCAAATAAATTATAAGGTGTTTTTTTATGTACATCAAATGTCTGATAGAAATGCAAGTACATATTTTGCTAAACTTTAAAATCAAAACCCAATTTTAAAACATAGACTAATCGATTATAACTCCTTTAACTTTAAAATAAGTTAAGTTCTTACTAATGGTTTTTATTCCAGTTTATGATGCATGTAAAGAATAAATAAAGCTAATCGTATATTGTATATCTATTTACAACCCCATTAATATCCACTATTATTTTATAATTCTTTTATAAAAACGTTAACCCCACACTAGGATTTTCTCCCGTATCGCGCAGGCAGCTTACAAACATAAATTGCACAAGGACACACATCCAGACCCGAAACAATTATTTGTAGGACATACAAATACTTGTTCCGTGCGGGATCAAACCCGCGGCGCCCGGCGCAGCCACTCATTGCTGAGCCACTGCGTCACGGTGCTTATAAATTCGTCCGCACATTGGCCCGAACCGAAGTAGAAGTAAACTGAACGATCTTCCAACGTGTGGACGCCGTCACCAGCTCTCGGCCAATATATTCGCCACTCCATTCGCCACTGTGTTGGCCAACGTGTAGAGGCGACATTATGCTATTGGCCACTACATTCGCCACTGTGTAGAGGCGCCGTATGGCAGACGTCGAAATAATTACAGCGTCCGCGCTGTGTCTTCTTGCAATACAAAATTATTTTAATAATTTAAAAAGATATCAAGTTCAAAAGAAGATAGATAGATAGATAGAAAATTTATTAGCTTAAAAACATGGTACATAAGATGATCAATGACGTGGAACTGACATGTTTTGCCATAATTGGTATGCAAAAATGATATGAAATACAGCTAATTACACAAACCCAATGTTATATTTTAAAATTATTGCATTGCTTAAAAGTTAGGTGCAAACATTCTTTTTGAATTAATATATTATGTATTAATGAAATACTTATACAGATCCACTCTATTTGAATTCTTATACAATAAATTGTTCATAAATTATTAATTGAATTATTACATTATTGTTACATAAATAATATTAAATATTATATGAGATTAGTTAAACTATTATTATTTTAATAATTACACTACAGTATAAATTAATTCATAATTTTAATTACAATAAAATTATAATTTAAAAATCTCAGGCAGGCTAATATTACCATTTAACTTATTTAACATTTTAATAAATAAATAATCAATATGAGTTACTAATCGTTTTTAGAAATAAAATGTCAAAGTTCATTAATTCCTTAAACTAAATTTTATATTCATAATATAATAAATTTGACGAATTTATAATTAATTATGTACATAGATACTATGTTATCTCAAAAAGAAAATAAAAAAATACGTGTGGCACTCGGTGACTGCCGCGGTAAAGCTATTGCATAGCATTTTTTATCAACTTATGCAATTATAATTATTTACTTATTTTATTTATGCAGTTAAGTCTTTGATATTAAATCAAGTTACACTTTTTGAGCGTGGTGACCGATAAGAAAACAATTTTTTTTCTCTTATTGAATAAATGAGAAGTTAATATTGTTTAAAATATTTTTAATATCTTACAATACATGTAGGTTATTCAGGAATTTTTATCATTGAGTTAGCAGCTAGTGTACACGCATACGTCTAGTCGCACGCACACAAACACCGTGCCGAAGTCTGCCGAGTGCCGAAGTCTGCCGAGTGCCGAAGTCTGCCGAACTGAAACGACGTTAGACGATGCACGGCTTTCAACGCCACATCTCCGTGCCCGTCGGAGTGGGGAGCGTGAGTTTTTTTTTCGTTACGGAATTTCTGGATTCGGTCCCCGCGCTCAAGGTCCGCGATAGAAGCTATGCAATAGCTTAATAAAAACTTCATTGTATTTTCATTATTCCACTCGAAATGCATTTTGGTAGATCGTATTTATTTAATAACAAGAAGAACAACAAATAGTATCCCAGCTGCATCTAGTACAGACAACTACAACAGTTGACAAACCTGAGGTTGTCACTCATACCAAAGAAACTCCAATGATGAAAAGAAATAAGTTTTTAGATGAAATACCATCAATCTCTGAAGAAGAAAAAGAGAAAGTCAAAAATAAACTCCTAGTACTGAACACATTGACAGACTCATTAAAATAACAATAAAAAAGCTGATACACGAGAAAAGAAAAGAGTCCTTAAACAAGTAGCTCTTGGAACGACAGTAAAAAAATATAAAGTAAAAGTAAAAGCAAAAATGTCACACAGTCTTGGACTTACAGGCAAATTAAGGATGACAGAATCGACTAAAATTATCAGAGGCAAATACATGAGGGAGTATCAAAGATTTTTTAACAGGGATGATATAAATCGACCAACAGCAGGAAAACAAGAATGCATAACAAAAAATAAAGAAAAGAAACAACTAAGATACCTGGTAGATACAATGCAAAGACTACATACCAAATATAGAGCTGAAGGAGGTGGGGCATCCTACACGATATTTGCTCGCTATCGACCATTTTATGTGATTTCACCTAAAATTGAATGTAGAAATACTTGTGCATGTATTAAGTATGCCAACATTGGTTTCAAAGCAGCAAAGCTCAAAACACTAGATGTGCTCCAAACATCAATTATTAATGATTTGATACGTACAATTACCTGCAGGGAATGTTTTGATTGTATGTATTCGAAATGCCCTATTTGTGTCAATAAAACGCCAGATATAAATTCAGAGATCAAAGGTGATGCCCAAGTGCAGTGGTTAGAGTGGCGGTTGAGATCACATGTATACTCAGTCGTAAATAAGAATAAAATAGAGGAAAAAACAACAAAGAAATATACAAAGGAAATTGTTAACGGGACCGTTCAAACACTTAATGAACAATTTCTGGGGGATTTACATAAATTAAAAACCCATCATTACAATATAATACATCAACACAAAGCATACAAGAAATGTATTGAAAATCTTAAACCGGACGAAGTTGCTATAGTTTGCGATTTTTCAGAAAATTATGCCTGTAAGCAATCCGAAGAAACACAAGCAGTGCATTTTGGCGCATCACGAAACCAAATCACACTACATACCTGTGTTTTATATGAAAAAGATAAAAAGCCTATGCCAATTTGCTCAATCTCACCAGTGAATGAACATGGACCAGGGCGCATCTAGATTGTATTCTTAAGTATTGCAAAAACAACACGAACATTAAGAAAATTCATATATTCAGTGATGGTCCAACTACACAATACAGGCAAAAACACAATTTCTATCTATTTACAAAAAGGCTTTCTGATTACGGATATGAGAAAGGAAAAGGCCCTGCTGACGGTGTTGGCGGAGCAATAAAAAGGAAACTTGACCAGCGTGTAGCTCATGGACATGACATCACAAATGCTGAAGAAGCATATTCTTATTTACTAGATAATGTCAATGTCGAAATACACTATGTTAGCGAAACAAATATTGAACAGATGAATCAAATGATTCTTAATGATGTGGTTCCTGTAAAGGGAACTATGACATTGCACCAGATAATTTATGACCGTCAAAGTAAACATACAATTTACTACAAGACTTTGAGCTGTATTTGTGATAAAAACGAGCCATGTGTGTATGGAGAAGACATGAAACAGCGTGATCTTGTGCAGCAACAGCAGACAAATGAGCGAGAAAACATGAGACTTAAACAGAAAAGAGAAGAAAATACACAGTCAAGCTTGGCACTTTCAGCAGACGATCGTACCAAAAGTAACAGTAAGAAAAAGATTACTATATTATCTTCAGTCAAACTTACACCCAAAGATATTCCCTTATTGCCGTTGCAACTAAAAACTATCAACAAAGATTTTGAAATTTCTACGGGCCATGACTTACGTCAGAAATCTCAAATCTTAACAACACAAAAAGACAAAATCTGCCAAAGAGGCCTAATTAAATTGGCAAAAAAAAAACGAAAGAATCAAACGCATAAAAAGGTCGACGAGATCTTTAAGCAATTCATCAACATCTGTTGAAACCAATATTAGTATTTACAGTGATTCCTAACTAGTTGATGTAGTGAATGAGGATCACAGTTCTGATCAAATTACAAGTGGAGTATGGAGTCACCAAGGTGCAACTGCACACAATCGGCCAGAGGTGCAAAAAATACCACAGGATCATAGAAGTAATATGTTGTTGCAGAATTTGGTTGAAGTAGAGCTAATAAGAAACAATCAGAAAGAAAGTCAAAAATGTGAAACTGAAAGAGAAACTAATAAGAAACAATCGAAAAGAAAGTCAGAGAAAAAAATTGAAAAAGAAAAGTTAGCAAAAGCATTTAAAATGGAAGATGAAGATGCAATTACAGAGAACCTTGAATTTGTTAACATTGATAAAAGGGAAGAAAATTGTAATAGCGAAGCTTTACAACATCGAACTGAGAATAATTTAGGTGTAGAAATAGGTGAACTAGTGAAAGATAGAGTGGATGGAGAACTATTCATCGGTGAAACAGTTTTATTCCGATATTATGAAAAAAAATGTTGGAAATACTATATTGGAGTCATAAAACTCATCGATTTTGATACAAACATGTACACAATATTTTTTTATAAAACTGTCAGCAGGAAAGAAAATTTGAAATTTATTGTACCGAAACGTACGGATAGAGACATTGTTCCTTATGTTTCAATTGTTAAAAAAATACAGCTTCAAAAACAGGAAAAACCCAACGAATTTAAATTAATGAATATGGAAGATTATACATACTTTGATTAAATCGACAAAAAGTAATTTAGATTTAATTTTGGTTATTTTCTTTTTGAACTTGAACTGAGTTAAGTTTTATAATGTTTTAAGAATGTGTGATTGTATTTTATATTCAATTAAAAGAGATGCCTGATTACACCAAAGTATTTTAATAATAAATGATGGTAAGTCAATAACTGTGCATTCGTATGGGCGGTTATGAAGATTTTTTTTTCATACAATCCTTGTCCTAACAATAGCGAACAAAAAAATTCATCCAAATTGGCAAGCGGTTTTCAAGTGATAAAACTTATATATATATATATATATATATATATATATATATATATATATATATATATATATATATATATATATATAGTGATTCCGATAAAAATACACAGTGTAAATGTAGCTTAATAAATACATTTTCGTTATTTATTTACAATTTCGTTACAACAACTTCGATACAACATTTTCTTTACGTACAATTTATTTCAGAATTACTCATATATATATATAATCGGAATCTCGGAAACGGCTCCAACGATTTTCATAAAATTTAGTGTCCAGGGAGTTTGGGGGGCAATCTAGCTAGGATTTATTTTTAGAAAATGTCCTTTTGTCCGTGTTTTCAGGCAATAAAAAAACTGCTACAATATAAGAAGGTAAATTTTGACAGATCACTGATGATCGTAATAGCTCAGGTGGGATGTCGGTCGGGCGTGATATCGGAGTCACAGAATAAATAATAGTACTCGGAGTTCCGTCTGTCCCTGGTCCGGCTTTTTTCCTTTTTTTTCTAGTTCCCTTCTTTTGTGAGAAAATCTATTATTCAAGCCCTTTTTTTAGTAATTTTTAAAAATACGAAAATTTTAATAAAACTAATTGCACTCATGATTTTTTATTCATATAACCAGTTCAGTTTTTTCTATTCTGTCAATAAGATCAAAAAACATTATTTATGTTTCATCATTATGTAATTTATAAATGTAATTTCAAAAAAAAACGAGCAAAGCTCAACCAACCCGGTCAACCGGGTACTTATATATTATTGGCTTACATATCTAAAATAAAATCTAAAAATTTATTGTAATCTATTTTAGCAGATAGTGTGCCGCATTATTTGTAAAATATTCATAAAAATTGCAATAAAAATGCTGTATAACAGAGACCACACTACCAAGCTTGTGTCCCGCATTTAAAGAATATGTGTGAAATATTTCTAGCTATGCTTAGAGCCCACTGACCTCTATATATTATACAAGTACGCTGGACTGGCTATACACCGTGACATGATGAAGTGATTTGATTTCCGCCATTTTGGCGCTGACAGCAGAAGTGCACGTCCATGAAACTAATAATAGGGATGAGACAGTGCACCAAATTATATCGATAAAATTCTATACCCTACCTATACCTAAATAGAATGCACTCTATGTATAGATGGACTCTACCCGTAACGTCCATTCTATTTATGTATCAATCAATGTAATGCCATTATCATTCATCATCACTAAAGCCTTCACAAGTCCACTGCTGAATATAGGCCTCCCCCAAAAAATGCCACAAAGCACGGTCCTGAGCCACCTGCATCCATCAACTTCCTGTATGTCTTACCAGGTTTTGACTCCATCTAGTGGGGGAACGTCCTAAACTTCACCCGCCGGTACGAGGCTACCACTTGAGAACCTTTTTTCCCGATCGGTATTCGTTTCTTCGAGCTATATGGCCGGTCAATTGCCACTTCAGCTTACTAATCCATTGGGTGATGTCGTTCACTCTGGTTCTGACTTCGAGCTTCCTCATACGGCCAGCAGTGAAAGACCTCGTCTCAGATCCATAGTTCATTACTGATACTCACTGGCGAGAAGATGTGTTGTAATCTCCCGAACGCTGCCCAGCCGAGTTGAATCCGTCGATTGACCTGTCGGTCGAAGTTGAACTTTCCTAGTTGGACTATTTATCCCAAGTGAAAATACTCGTCAACAACTTCAACTAAGTGCTCCCAAAAACCACCGGCATAGGTGTGACATGGACATTACACATGACTTTTGTTTTGTCCATGTTCATCTTAAGACCTATCCGTTGGGAGACACTATTGAGGTCTTTGAACATAGTGCGTAGGTCCTCCAGCGATTCTGCCGTAAGGACTATATTGTCGGCAAATCAAAGGTGAGTGACGTACACGCCATTGACGTTCATACCGTATCCTTTCCAGTCCAGTAGCTTGAAAAGTTCTTCCAACCAATGCAGTAATAAAGTATTTCGGGGATGTTACGTTACCCTGTCTTACACATCTCTACAACTGGATTAGTTTTGTATTCTGGTTCTCTCGTATTCTGGTACTCGGATAGCCATCGTAGCCCTTAGACCATTCAACTAAAAATTATTAAGATTAAACTAACTACACAAAATAAAAATAAAAACATAATTTCTAAAATAATTTATTGTCAACCGTTCATTTAGTATTATAAAAAACAAATCAGCTGCTATAATAACACCTATTCTAATCAACTACAGGTCTGTCTATAGACAGTAAAATATTTTCTACTATATAAAAATTTATGTTTGCTCTTACTTTCTACGATGCTATACCGTTCATCAGATTACGGTAAAACTTAGTCAACTTATTGGTTGCACTTGTGCGAGGATTATATGCATGGTACAATTAACTGACATTAGGTGGCGTGCGTATTATACTGACTATTTATTTGAAAGTTATAGAAAGTTATATATCATTCTATTTCAATGATTGTATTATCATTCCTAATTATACAATATAACCACAATTACTTCTTCTGCGGCAGCAACGCACCGGGTACGAGCTAGCAAAATAATATAAATTAATTTGCTAGCTCGTACTAAAAATTAAAAATATAAACTTTGAATTACATAGTTATCAGTTATTTACAACGTCATTTTCGAAATTAAAATATCAATATTAAAAAAATAACAAAAATTATCATACAGTCCTATTTTCCATGGTATCGTCCCAAGAATGCTAGCTACGTGTCCTCTCTGAATAGCTATACTTAGCCTTCAAGCGAGGAAACAACAAACTAAACAACTTCTTATTACCAGCAGCGAAGATCAGTCGCAGATACAGTTTTTTAGGAACTACACCGCACGTGCACCCTACGGACCATTAGTCTCTACAGCAAATTGCTCAAATATGTACACATCTTCTAGATATTCTGGGCTATTTACTTAGTCCAGTTGCCTCTAATGCCACCTCTGCTTTAGACAAGGTACCCCTGAGATGGGATGGTGTCAAATTGTTCGCTAGTAGTATCCCACACTAAAGCGTTATCTCTCTCTCTCTCTCTCTCTCCCTCAAGCAACCAAATCCATACCGTCGAGTCTCCTGGTATCGTCTCTAAATATTCTACAAAGATCTTAAACCGAGGAAACATTTATAGAGATACGAGCTCTTCGGGTGACATTGTCCAAGAACTAGGGACAACATTGTATTAAAAAAATACCATAACATTATTACACGATTATTTAATGACCAAACGAGATTCGACCAAATACTATGTTAAACCAGAGTAACTAACCCTCGAATAATTTTACTCTTTTGTCTTATACCAAGATAACTTCATTTTGCGTTTTGTAACACAAACGTAGAGAAGCTAATACTGACTATTGTTACTCCAAAGTTGGTAGTTGGTGGTAGAGTTTATTCATTCAAACAAGTAAATCAACTTAAACCAAAATACAACTGTTGCAAAGCGCAATCCAAGATTTGAGGTCCACATAATTTGCCGTAAGTGTAAATAATTCCGCCCAATGGCAGCCCTTCCTTAGTTGCTGACTTCTCCCCCCGTTTTCATTCTCAGATAAGGCGCACCAGAAACAAGCCAAACTGCCCTTCGCGTCCTCTAACTCCACCTGTTCTATGGACTCCCCGAGCCCGATATGTGAATGGAGCCAGGGAAAACTATCACTTGGAAGCATCAAGAAGTGCAGCCTCACCAAAGTCGCGAAAGATAGTCGAGTGGCGCATTGCCAATCGCCATACCAACATTCCTCTTCCCTTACGACTCCACCTCAACTACAGCGGTACAGGGAGAGAAATCTCCTCTAGCCGCAGCCCACTAAAATACATACAACGTGGCTCGACATCATCAGGCGACCTTTCGACACTTGGCTATGGCCCTTGAGTTTGGTGAAAAATGAGGAAAGAAGAAATAAAAAAAACATTCGAAATAATAATCTAATAATTTTATACTTACTGGTACTGGTACTACCAGAAAATATTGTCGGTATACTGCACTTTTTCAAAGTGGTGCAGGTGCTGATGTCTAATAAAACATTCACAATATTTATGCTTTTAAGCCATAATTTTAATCTAGGTTCACTTGGAAACCTGTTAATTAATAAACATTTGATAATCGTCTGTTGTTGGCGACTTTGTTTCTTAACAGATATGTGTAGGAAATCACATCGATAAGTATTATAGGCAAGTAACTCGACAACCCTATTGAATTTTATTGTTTGTCAAAACTCAGTAATATACAGCCAAAGATGTTGGTATATATGATATTAAGATTAGTAACAAATTTTTAAGTACTTATATTATCAAATAGTTTTAATTTGTTTCATATTTCCTGTAAATTCACTTACTTGTGAAATGTTATACCACTTCCCTTTTGGTAACGAGTTTTATAGATTACGCACACTCATTATTAACAAAAATAATTCTTATTATGTAACTAATATTATACACAATCAAACTACATAAAATACTTTCGTTTTTTAGTTTAAAAGTTCAAAATACAGACTTAATAACTAAGACAATTTAAATATGACAACAGACTTTGGCACATTATGTCAATTTTATTTCTCAAGACATCCTTTAGCGGCGCTTCAAATTGGCACAGTCATTTTCTATGGTATAGCCAGTCCAGCGTACTTGTATATATAGAGGTCAGTGTTAGAGCCTGAATAAGTTATTTAAATAGACATGGCTCTAAAAACATAAAAATAGTTTGGAATCCAAATGCACACGCATCATAAGCGTTTCA